GCAGATAGTTAAACGTCTAACTCAGACTATAACGTGTTTTTTTTATACCAGCGTGGAACTTCTTTCATGTTGAAGGCAGGTTAGTGAAGTTAACTGCACAACTAGTCCATAAAAGTAAGTTACATCTGTCACTGATTAAAGTTGGGGGAAGTCAAATTATAGTCTTTAAAACTCTTCAGTTCAGTTCAGTCACTCAGTCATGTCCGACTCTGCGACCCCAAGCCAGCACGCCAGGCCTCCCTGTCCATCATCAATTCCCGGAGTTTACTCAAACTCATGTCCATTGAGTCGGTGATGCCATCCAGCCATCTCATCCTGTGTCGTCCCCTTCTCCTCCTGCCCCCAATCCCTCCCAGCATCAGGGTCTTTTCCAATGAGTCAAGTCTTCGCATGAGGTGGCCAAAGTATTGGCATTTCAGCTTCATCATCAGTCCTTCCAATGAACACCCAGGACTGATCTCCTTTAAACTCTTAAGACAATATCAAATAATATCAAATTACTGACTTTTAAGAACGAGTGTCAAGAATTAAACACAAATGGAGTTTATGCTCCACATTTAATTTCTTTTGGAGAGAAAGTAGTTTTAGGGAGTTGTGGATGAAAACATTAGCCAAGCAGGCTTACAAGAACAATCATTTAAACGTGTTATGTGATCTAGCATTTATGAAAAGAGGAGGAACAAAAACCTCACAATTTGCTTGGAGAAAGGAGTTTATGGGTAGAAATTAAGAAAAAAGTCACTAATCTACAATTCAGAGGGCAAAGAGAGAATAACAAAGATTATCAAGTGTAGGCTTGTAAAACTCATACAAAAAAATTTTAACTTAATAAGTATGCGTTAACTATGGAGGAAAGAAGAGGCAAAATAGTAAAGAATAAAATCTCATAATTTAAAAAAACAAATTTTTGGAAAATAAGGTAGAGAACTAGTTTTGAGCCAGGATTAAATAACTCATCTCTTAGTTCAACCACCAGTCAATAACTAATTGAAATAAATCCTGAAAAAATACACATGCTTACCAGGTATATGCAAATCTGTTAAATTATATAACATATACTTATTTGGAAAGCAAAGTTAAGTTAATAAAATTGTTTGATTTTATTATTTCTTTGCCCATGTCTGTAACATTAGTAAACATTATCAGAATTCACATGGATCAAGTGGAAGATTTTACTTTTTCAGAAAAAAACTATTATTCTGAGAAGAATGGACACACTCCCTTCTCTTTATGATAACCATCTCAGTTTATTCATCTTAAGTGATAAGCAGTAAGGTATCATCACTGTATGTAGATATGACTAAACAGTGTACTGATTCTGTGGTTTGGAGCAGCAAGTGCTATCTGAAAAGTTCGCTACCATTTGTAACCACACCTCTTTTGGCACACAGACTACACAACATATTTATAATAGACTATGAAAGTGATAATAGTGAGATTTTCTAATTCAAGCAGCAGCAATATAATATAAACCCATCAGTCTTAAAGTGTTTATTACTATAACATTTTCAAGAATGGGAAAAACCCCACAAAACCTGCTATCAACTCTCAGTACTTCTTTCTTTATTTCTGAGGAATCAGAACTTAACATTAACTGAAATGGGTATAATTAGGTATTCTAAAATGCCAGTACTAGAAAATCTTTCATTACTCAGCGATTCTTGTCTTATACATACTATCTTTAAAAGCTTATTTCAATTTTACAAAATTTTCTACTGCTGCTGCCACGTACGGTCCCTCAAAGGAGCACCCAATAGTATGGGTTCAATAACCTGGAAGGAGCGCCACATTATATACTTCAGCTCGTATTCAGCATCAGGTAAAGCTGCCTTGAACCCTGGCCAGACACTACTGTCAGAAGACTCATAAAAAACCTGTTTTCAAGCTAACCTTAAATTTGTCTCACTGTACACACTCCAAGGACACCATTATGTGTGAAGAACCAGTACATTTTCAAAAGTTTCTGGGAGGAGAAAGGAACAGTGTGTCTGGAATGTTGTTACACAGAAAAGAAACACTTAAGACCTGATAAATAACGAGAATTCAAAGCAGCAACAAAACAGTAGTCAATCTATGGCCATAACGAATTCAAATAACTCACTCAATCTTACTAACAATATAAAAGTTCAATAGCTGCCTGTCCTGGGTGAAAATGGATTGCAAGTACATAAACTTGATCATGAAAACACAGCAGCTCAATAACACTTTAGAGGTATTATAATTATCACTAAAATAACCTGACACATACTTTTACTCCAGATAATCCATTTGAAAGTCAACACTTATACTTTGATGCAAAATCAAAAAATCTTCTATAAAATAATTCTTCTGTGCCTGATGACCAATTTCTCATGTCTTTCACTTTGAAAATGGCTAATTACAAATTGCACTTTAAGTTACAATATAAACAAAAAGCTCCACAGAACTCCTCACTAATAGAACATGTCCTGAGGCGCCAACAACACCATAGGCATTCGAGAAATCAACTCATTCTCTCAATATGTGTGCCGGTAACAATAGTTAATGTTTAACATACATGCTAAGTGTTAGTTGATGCTAGGGGTTTTACATACTTCATCTCTAAAAACTTCACAATTCCATGAGCTGAGCATAACTATTCCCATTTTATAGATGAGGAAACTGAACTAAGGATCATAGAGGTGTCCTGTGGCTAGTAAGAGAATACAGAAGCCGTTTGTATTTTCATCAGCCCCTTCTATACATAAGGCACATGAGATCTGAAAGCATTATATATTTTTCAATTAACCAACAAGTTTTAGAAAATGCTGGGCTGAGTACTGTATGCTCTGGGTACTTTTTGTGGGGAGCTGAGAGCACTCACATTTCAGGTTTACATGGTTAATTTTTTAATTCTAACACACAACCAAATTTCTCTCAGATACTGAATCTATGAATCCAAGTCAATTCTATATCTAGGTATATTAGTTATGGAATATGGGAGATCATTAAGCCAGTACAGTCTTCTCAGACCCTGAGGAAAAGGGTCCAACACAGTCAAAACTCAAGTATTTCTTCAGAACCCTACTTTATGCTGGTTAGAAGTAAGCCTCAGAAGTGGGCCTATGGTTTTACCTGTGATTACAGACATGTCCACAAAAAACTACAGAATCCAGTATTTAAGGACATATTCACCCAGACAAAAAAAGCAAGGAGTGAAAAGATGAGCACTCAATCAACACGTGAGGAAGAAGAAATCCCTCTCAATACGGACAAATGTGCCAAATTTTATCAAGTCGTGTGTTCAATTAACCTAGTCATACTGGTATCCTACTATGTAAAATATGACACAGAGTTTACTGTTTCAAATATTACAAGTAGGTGGGCTGCCAGTTCGACTTGAACCATCTTTTTGTTATTCAAAAGTTCTTCTAATCAATGACATTTAGGCTAAAAGCAAACAGTTTCTTCAAATTACAGTTATGCAAACCATAATCTCAAGAGATATATATACACATACATATACATGCATATATATTCATGTACATACAACCATATATACATATATGTACACACACACTTTTTTTTTCTCCTCTGGAAAATCATATTATAAAAACCATCTTCTACTTACTAAGGCTTCCTATTTGAGCAAGCACCTCTTCGCCTTTTACTTAGTTGACCTGCTATCCCAATTATACACAGGACCTTGAAAGCCTCAACAGTTTGTTTCTGCATAAAAGCAAGCTCAAGGAACAGAGGCACTCTCCTCTGCACCTAGCAACAAAAAAAAGAGAACGACAAAAAACTTCAAACACACAGGGATCTGGGGGGGGCAGAGCCGAAGGCTCAACCCTGATGGGTGTAAATCTGATCCCCGAGGTCTGTGCCATTGACAGTCATTCAACTTTCTTTCCAATATTCCCACTGTGCTTTTTTCTGGTACCACACACAAAATGTACCACCTAACATTTCATCAACCATTCGGAATGTCTTATTTACTTTCTAAAAATTTTCGGGGTGCAAGGCCAGGGGGCAGCTGCCGCGGGGTGGGCCGGGGAGCCCGGAGCACGGGCGCCAGCCACCCAGGAGAGCAGAGCCCCGCACGGCACCCGCTCCGGGCAGGCCTGCTGTGGCTGGTTCCCCAGTCCCTGGGGCTGCAAGAACAGCAGCAGCAGCCATGGCAGGGACTCGGGAACCTTTCCCCCGTCTCCTCCGCTAGGCCTCGAGGGGTTTGCTTTTCACATGGCCCCCGGGTGGGGGCGGTGGGCGCAAGGTACTAGATGCAGCTGCAGCCGCAGCGGCGGGCCAGGCGAGCCGGGGCTCCCTCAGAACCCGACCTCCCAGCGGGGCTGCCAGCAGGAGCACCTCGGCGGGGCCCTGGCTGGAGCGTCGACCGCTCGGCGGGGAAGGCCACCTTCTCACACACCACATCTCTCCCCTGACTGCCTCCTTCTCCGTTAGCGCTACCGGCTGGCGGGCGGGGGAGGGGAGCGAGGAGCGTTATTCCCGGGGAGCTGAAGGGGGGGAGGGGAGGGCATCTCTTACCCGCGTTACTGAGGAGGAGGAGGAGGCGGTTGGAGCGCGGCGCGGCGGGGCGACGGCGGGGCTGGGTGGGTGCAAGTAGGAGTCTTACGAAAGGGAATTAACCCCATCACCAGCCCGGACACCGGCTCCAGCGGCAGCCGCGGCTGGCAGAATCCCGCCCCTTCCCACCACGCACTAGCCCCGCCTCCTCGTTCTCTTTGAGAGCAGTCGACAAATCATAGGATGGACATCCTTGGAGTGGCGGGAGGATTATCCAATCACACCTCAACAAACGGCCTTCTCTCCACCCCTTCATCGCCTCCCGGGCCGCGGGAGAGCCGTGCCAAATCTTTCTCCACCCTCAAGGGAAAAAGAGCCAATCGGCTGTAAGTATCCGCCCTTGAAGGACACAAAGGACAACCAATAATAAACCTAGGAGGACAGCCATTTTGCCCACTTGAGAAAGAGCCACCTTTTCCCACGAGTTGGAACCTGAGGTTTGGGGAGTTCTGGGAATTTTTACTGACCTCGATGTATTGGAAAGACAGCTATATTTCCTCAAGAGTATTTATACTGTTTTATAAGAGGGAAGGAAAATTTTCGTCCTCCATGTGGTTGGAGGTGGGGAATGCTGCTGAAGGATTTGGCTCCTCCTCTCAGCGGTAACGGGCTCTCAGACCAACACCTGGTTTCTCCAGCCTCAATGGGGAAAGGCGGGGTGATTGCCCTTTTCGGCTTGCAGCCGACTACAGCTCCCAAAGTGCTTTGTCCCCGCCCATATCCTTTCCTCAGTTTGCTTCCCGCGGGGCCTGACGGGAATTGTAGTTGATGGGAGGTACCCACGCCGCCTCATCGGCCAATGAAAAAGAATATAGTTCTGCAGGATTTGGAGTTTGGGGCTGGGAAGTAACCCCAGGGCTGTGGTGAAGCCTTTTCGCTACCCTAATAGAAGAGCGAAAAGGGTTAGAAAAGGGAGTCAGGGAAGAGTATTTTCTCGGAACGCGGTAGGGATTTTCGATTCCTACTATTTGCACTCTATTACTTTCCGTTTGTGCCTTTGAAGTCACTTCCGTTTTGGGACGGACACAGGCCAAACCCGTGGCGGGAGTTGGAGATTCTGCAGCGGATACACCAGGTGTGGTCGTCCGGGAGTGGCGTGGCGGGGTAGTTGGTTGTTTCTTGCGTGAGTGATAGGAAGTTGAACAGAATTTAATTGCATTTTAAGAGTGAATGAAATGGGATGGGGGTAGATTCCAAAGTCCAAGATGCCGTTCTCCAGCCTCCTCGTCAATCCCGGAGTCTCACTTGTCTTTTTACTTGCCAAGTATTAGATTGCACGCATAAATTTGGGGGAGTGTGCCTCTAAAACCTTCACGTCTTCAGTTTGACTAAAAGGAACCGACTCAGAAGTTCTGAGCGTAGTCTTCCCATTTTTACAACCAACTTCTAAAGGCTGGTTCCAAGAAAAACTGCAGAAGGGCTCATGATTGATGCTTGAGAATAGTCGCATTACTTTTTTTTTTTTTTTTTTTAGTAAAGCAAACATTAAACAAATGTCGACCGGATGCCAACTACAGTACCCCGATGAATACAGATCATTAGGCGTTGGAGCCAAAAACCTAACAAGTTGAACACATTAGGCCCTGTTTGTGCCCCTGTCCGGGTGCCAAGTTGTGTATGTTTTTACCGTTGAACCTTCCCTTTGAGGTTCCTTGGATAACTCATTGATCAAAGGAAATGCAGAAGGTGGTATCAGACAAGGTCTTCCTCCCCCTTTCCCTCAAAAACAGGACTCCCTCCCCAAGGCTGATGGCTTTCACCATCATTTTCACAGACTTTCTCCCATAAGTTCTTACTCAATTTTCTCTCTTCTTTCGCTGAGACTTAGAAATTATATTGAAAATATTTATTGGGAATTTAATACTGTGTTAGGCACTATGCTGCTTTCCTGGTGGCTTTACAGTCTTGTAAAGAATTTGCCTGCAGTGCGGGAGACCTGGGTTCCATGCCTGGGCTGGGGAGATTTGCTGGAGAAAGAAGGAATAGGCTACCCACTCTTGTATTCTTGCCTGGAGAATCCAAGGGACAGAGGAGCCTGGCGGGCTCAGTGCATGGGGTCACAAAGAGTCGGACAAGCCTGAGCAATTAAACCCAGGCCAACCAGGCACTATGCCAGATTTAGGAGTAGCAGTGCCAAAAAGACAGGTTCCTTATCCAAAAGTAGTGAGGAAGACAGAAGCCAAACAAAATTAATGATAGGGTTACTTGTTCTCCTGTCTCTAAGTCAAATCTTCATTAATCATGTTTTCCTAGTTTTTTCATTCTACTTGTGGAGGACTAAACTAAGCATATTTTCTCTGTTTTTTTTTTTTTTTTTTTTACTTCAAACACTGATAGGTTTGTGTCCTAGACTGATGAGTGGTGTTTATACATCAACTAGATGGTAAATTTTATAGTGTAATACTGGTAGATACAGGAATGTCATCACACTTTTCAGCCAAACAGTGTTCTGGGTCCTCCAGACAAAGTGTCGCCTCTTTCTTTTTAATACTGATTGGGAATTTCTTATAATTTGCACAAAGTTCTTCTGTAGATGCTTAGATTATTTTTTTTGTCATGAGTGCTTCCAGTGTAAATCAAGTCAATAAATAGTAATGATGGCTTTAATTTTATTGACTGTTTCCTCTGAGCCAGGAATGGTGTTAAGTGCTTTCAAGAGTGTCCCCTTCAACAATCTGCAAGGATTGTTCTGTGACATTTTTATAGGTGAAATTGGAGCACAGGGAAGACTAAAAAAATTTTTGTTGGAGTATTAGTTGATTTCAAATGTTGCGTTAGTTTCTCCTGTACATCAAGGTGAGTCAGTTACGCATGTACATATATCCACTCTTAAAGTTTTTCCCCTTTAGTTCATTACAGAGTATTGAGTAGAGTTCTCTGTGCTATGCAGTAGGCCCTTGTTAGTTACCTGTTTTATGTATAGTAGTGTGTTTATGTCAGTGGGCTTCCCAGGTCACTCAGCTAGTAAAGAAGCCATCTGCAGTGTGGGAAACCTGGGTTCGATTCTTGGGTTGGGAAGATCCCCTGGAAGAGGGCATGGCATCCCACTCCAGTAGTCTTGCCTGGAAAATTCTATGGACAGAGGAGCCGGGTGGGCTTACAGTCCATGGGGTTGCAAAGAGTCGGACACGACTTGAGCGACTCAGCACAGCACAGCACATATGTTAATGCCAGTCTCCCACTTTATCTGTCCTCACCCTCAATAAGACTTTAAAGCCTCCGTCAGCAAACTTTGGAGCTGAGATTCACATCCAGCTCTGTCTCATTCCTGAATTCTTAACCACTGCTCATCCTGCCTCTTATTTATTAATCCCCCAATATGTGCCAGGCATATAGTGAGAAATGTGAAATTTCATCCTAGGATTCTGGAACCAATAGTGGTAGTCACTTCCTCTTTTGAGTTCTCCTTTGGCATCACATAATAATACTCATTGTATTTAAAAACACAGGAAAATATTTAAAAGTAAGTGAAGCTTATTAGTATTCCTATTGCTCAGAGATACTTCTAGAAATTTTGATGAGTATCTTTTCAGATCTCTATCTTAATAGGTACAGATGTATATGAATAGTATGAGACTACTTTCTCTTTTGTAAGTTTTCTTGACTCAAAAAGTAGGCTGTGACTATGACTGAAGATCAATACTATCATTTCTGATGGCTATCTAGAATTACATTGTTTATTTCTAACATAACCATTTCCTAACTGTTTTTAATTGTGGTAAAAAATATATAAAGTTTACAATTTTAACCACTTGTAAGTGTATAGTACAGTAGTGTTAAGTATATGCACCTTGTCATGCAACAGATCTGTGGAAATTTTTCATCTTACAAAACTGAAACTCTTTACTTACTGAACAACTTGACTCCTCTTTTCCTGCCTTCCACAGCCCTTGGCAACCACCATTCTACTTTCTGTTTCCGAGAGTTTGACTTTATATGCCTCATATAAGTGGTGAAATCATGAAGTATTTGTCCTTCTGTGATTGGCTTATTTCACTTAGCATCCTGCTGTCATGGTTCATTCATGTCGTGGCATATGGCTGGATTTCCCTTTTTTGTTTTTAAGGCTGAAATAATATTTCATTGCTTACAGTCCATGTATATTCAGTATTTTATTTATCCATTCATCTGCTGGTGAACCTTTATGTTGCTTCCATTTATTGGCTGTTGTGAATAATGCTGCAGTAAATGTTAATGTCACTTCAAGATCCTCTTTTTAGACATATGTGTCTATATGTTTTTGGACATATGTGTTCTTTTGGATATTTGTATATACATATGTATACTTCTGGGTATATAGCTACACCCAGAAATGGGATTGCTAGATCAACTATTAATTTTTAAAAGCAATGCTATCATGAGCATCATTTTTTTATGCTTTCCTGATTATCCCTTCAGTCTAACTTTTTAGGAATAGTGTGACTTTGTATTATTTATTTCCTAATACAAAACTCTGTAATTCCTAAATTGCTTTTCAGAGAGATTATGCCTGTTTTCTTTCCTATTGACTAACAGTGTTTCAGAGCACCAGCTTCCCATCTTTTATTCTATTCAGTCTGATTGTAAAAAGTGATCGTCATTTATTTAATTCTATCTAGTTGAATTTGGTTGATGTTGAGCATCTTTTATGTGTACATTGTCCATTGTTGTTTAATCTCGTTTGAGTAGACTGTTATCTTTCATAGACTCTTAGTAATTTTAAAGAAATTACTTCAGAGGTTTTTAACGTGTTGTGTGTTTTGCTTTTACTCTCATTTTGAATTTGATGTTTTTAACTTTTTAATTCTGTTCTTCTTTGACATAGTATAAATTATTTTAGTGTTGAAATTTATGTCTTTTCCCTTATGGTTTCTAGATTATTTGTGATACTTAAAAAAGCTTTATGATGAATAGAAAGTAGATAATAAAACATAATATGTATATGCAATTTTTATCTCTTTTTACATTTGATTTTGAAACCATGTAGCCAGATTGGGAGTTGAACCCATGGGTTGGGACTTGGACCTAGCCAAAACCCAGACTGGGACTTGAACCCACAGACTTTTAGCTGAGACCACATTATAATCTTAGGAATTAATAAAGCTCATGTTCTTGATGTCTTATCACAGCAAGTATTGAATGAGAAAGAAACTCATAGGTAAGAAATGGATTTACTTAGAGAGAAACACACTCCATAGGCAGTGTGGGCCATATCAGAAGTAACAGTGGCCGCAGACTGTGGGGTTGACAGTTTTTATGTTATTTAGTTGCTAAGTCATGGCCGACACTTCTGGACCCTATGCACTGCAGCACACCATGCTTCCCTGTCCTTCACTGTTTTCCACAGTTTGCTCAAACTCATGTCCATTGAATCGGTGATTCCATCCAACAGGCTCATCCTGTCACCCCTTCTCCTCCTGTCCTTAATCTTTGCTAGCATCAGGGTCTTTTCTAATGAGTCAGCTCTTTGCATCAGGTGGCCCAAGTATAGGGGCTTCAACTTAAGCATCAATCATTCCAGTGAACATTCAGTATTGATTGCTTTCATCTCCTTGCTGTACAGGGGACTAAAGAGTTTGCTCCAACACCACAATTTGAAAAAATCATTTCTTTGGCACTCAGCATTCTTTATGGTCCAACTCTCACATCCATACATGACTACTGGAAACCATAGCTTGGAGTGTATGGACCTTTGTCAGCAAAGTGATGTCTCTGCTTTTTAATACACTGTGTAGGCTTGTCATAGCTTTTCTTCCAGAGAATTAAGTGTCTTTTAATTTGGTGACTGCAGTGATTTTGGAGCCCAGGAAAATAAAATCTGCCATTGTTTCCACTTTTCCTGCATCTGTTTGTCACGAAGTGATGGGACTGGATACCATGATCTTAGTTTTTTGAATGTTGAGTTTTAAGCCACCTTTTTTACTCTCCTCTTTCACTTTCATCAAGAGGCTCTTCAGTTCCTCTTCACTTTCTACATATGGTATCACCCGCATATCTGAGGTTGTTAATATTTCCCCAGGCTGTCTTGATTCCAGCTTATGCTTCATCTAGCTCTCCATTTCCCATGATGCACTCTGCATATAAATTAAATAAGTA